CTCTCTCTCTCTCTCTCTCTCTCTCTCTCTCTCTCTCTCTCTCTCTCTCTCTCTGCCACACATTCTGTTTCACGCTTTATTCTACCGTGTTTGTCTACACGTCGAAAAGTTTAACGAAACACGCGGGAGAGAGGCTAGTGGGAACGTTTAAATATTCATGGTATATTCTATGGGAACTCGGCGCGCGCGAACTTTTCGCCGAAAGATTTGCTCTTCGCGAGCGAGGGCATGCATACTGAGCGATACCGGGGACGATTCTTCGCGACGTTGGCGGTAACTTTTCGCCCGAGATATTTCCTGAACGAAAGTGGAAGAATAATATTAGAAAAAACGAAAAGAAAGAGGACGAAAAGATTTCCGGAGCAGCTGAGAAAAGTGGGATAACACATAGCGTGTTAACGAAGTTTCTTACGAAACGCATTCTTTCACGTCCTCTGCACGTATGTGTATGTGTGAGTAACCGTTTCGCTCGACTTTCAGGTGCAACAGTACAGGCGTAATTTGAGACTAGCCCGGGTGTAATGTGGGGAAGAGCGAATATGGCGGCAGTGACCCTTCTCCTAGGATGGCTGTGCGTTTTCGCTCGTGCGGAAGGTACGTGTACGTAATCTGTAAAACGGCGAGCGCACGTCTCGGATACAGACTGCAGGCGCGTTGACTGCGCCGCGCTGATTTCCCTTGATTGTTTCCAAGTGCTTTACTTAACTTTGGATAACCAGAGACACGGTAAATTAAAGCAATTCACGACGCATGTCTGCTAACTGATTTCAATGACTCCCTGTTGGCCGTACAATGAATTTGTTGGGTTCAATTTTGATTGCGTCTTACAAATTGACATACAAATTAATAATACAGTTGAAAACAAAGCTAGATAAAAGTAATACCAAATAAACGCGGCGGCATCTCTCATCTCCGCGACAGTCGACGTGTTAAAAATGCGGAATGTAATGTAGGATCGAGTCGATCTTGTAAACTGTGAAGAATAATGGCAGAACATTTTGTCGGTCATCAGCGGGCAACACCGAGATAACGTCCGCCGACGCCGAGGCGGAAACCATCCTAGAGCGAGCGGCCACGTGGCTGTGGAGTCAACGGGACAAGGACGCCGGATGGGGTAATGACACGCATCGGGTACTTCTAGTTCTGCGTCTGGCGAATCTCTCCCGTGACGACAATGTCGCGCCGCCTGCACCACTCGAGCTGCAGCTCACCGCCAAGCAGATGGAACTGGAGATCGTGCTTTCGCTCTGGAGGTAGAATCATGTGGATCGCGTTAATTAACTCGACATGATCGCATTTGAGTTGAAATCCTCTTCTCTTACTCCCTTCGTTTTCTTCTTTTCCCTTTTCTCAAGAGACGGACGTGACATCGTCGTCCAATTGAAGTCGGGCAAATTTTCAATTTCGACAGACTAAAAGTAACGCGTGTGAATTTAAACTGCACGGAAAAAAGTGCTGTTGTTACAATAGAAATTGTCCATATCGCCGTGATTGAAGTAAATCTTCTTGATTCTACAGGAATACTATTGAATCCAATATATCATATATTATTTCGATGACTCAAGTTTCAAGGTCAAGCTTTTTCCGGCTTTTGGGAAGTCAAAAGCTGGAAAGGGCAGACTGAATTTGTTCGCCGGTAATGGACATCGTGTGTACATCGACTTGATTGGAGAACTCCCCGGCAAGACAAATATACTTCGCGCACATACGATCGATGTCAATGATTCATAACGAGTAAACAATTTCGCGAGAGCAGAAAGCTATAGCTGACTTGAATCGAGGTGCACGACGGATAGGTAATAACACTGCGGTACTTTTCAACGACCTAGAAAGTTCACGTGCAATGTACAGAAGGTAAGTGAAGAGAGCAGGCTCAGAGTTCTCAGAGCCCGCCGCGTGTATGCCTTGACATTCTTTATCGTCGAGTTACGGGTGACGTACAGACTGTGTAGATGTGACGTTCGCGAAAGAATGGCGCGCTCTTCGCGCGGATACGCGCTCGTCGGCGCGGTGCTTCCGCGTTATCGATTCTTCCGTCAGGAGTGTCTGCACTCAGCTGGTCGTCATTGTAAAGAGTATCGCCGAGAACCCAAACTATCAATGTTCCAATTAATTGTAATTACACCATACGTGGTCGTCTGGTCACTCTTACTCAGGCAGTACAAACTTCTAAAAGTCTATTTTTAGGCGTATTCAATGAATTTCCGTTGCATTACATTACTGTCTTTAAATGTATAGTGTTTATATATGTTGAAAAGGATCCCATACGGAATTAAAACATTTGTGGTTTCTGTTGTAACACACATTACATGTTTCTTGTCCTTTAAATCTGAACTCGAATTTTGAACTCACGATGAGCTCTTCAAAAACTTCACTTCTCATACGATTCAAGCATAACAAACTTAACAAAATCAGAAGAAATTGATTAAATTAAAAAATGACAAATATGATATCTCTCAGTCATGTGATGTGATTCCTCTTTTTCTTGTGGAATTTTATGGTAGATATATCGTTATAACTTTATTGATAATACTTGAATTAGAACAACTCAGAACGTATCTAAACGCATGTATGTATATGTATCTGTGAAGAGATCAAACGGTCACGATGGTTATGCAAAGATATAAAATTTTTTTGCGTATGTTTGCAGACACCGAGAGGTCGGGTTTTCCCCGGTTCGACTGGCGCGCTACACTTTGGCCTTGAACGCGATGTGCATGGACCCGAGACAGTTCCACGGTCATGATCTGATCGGCACGTTGCAGCATCACGAGCCGCCGACCGATTACGAGTTCGCGCTGACCACGCTCGCAGCGTGCAGCGCTCAAGCGCACGTGCGGAAGCGGCAGATACGTCGTCTGCTGGACATCGCGAACGCCGCACGCGATCACAACGTCGGTAGGTGATTTCAGAAACTTCCACACAGGGCTCAAATCCTCAATTAAAAAATCCTTTAAACCCTTAAAAATGCACGAGTTCTTATTATATCGCTTGGATCAAATCGCAGATCAACAAAATATACAGAGAGAACGATTTATTGAATCAAATAAATGTTTCTTTGGAATAATTTGGAAGATTATTTGGTTGACACAACAAAAATATTTCTTTGGAACTAAGCAAATAAATACTTTTGATGCTTCAAACCAAATTTTATTCGATCAATCAAAAAATTTGTTTGAACTATTCCAAAAAAAGTATTTATTTGATTCAACCAAATCGTTCTTTCTGTGTAGTTAATCTCACTAAAATTACAGTTATTTTCTGTGCCAATTATATTTTTTATCGTTCTAATAAAGAAGCAACAATAAAAATATATTATTATTACCATTATTATAGTAAAACTTATTACACAAATAATTTTCCTAACTATAGTCAGTTCACGGTGCAATTATATTTACACATACAACTTTACTCTCATTGTAACTTTCGTCCGTGTTCGTAGACACCGTGGCGATGGTGATCTTGGCTCTGCAATGCATCGTCCAGGACCACCGGCATCGGAATCTCCATCACTTCGTGCGGAAGCCATCGATGGGATTGGCGCAGCAGCAGAGGCTTGACGGTAGCTTCGGCGACTTGCACACCACTGCGTTGGTGATGCAGGCGCTGGAAGAAGTGGAGAATGAACCAGCCGACAACTGGAACAGATCCGCGGCCTTGGCTTGGTTGATCAGCCAGCAGCGTGTAGACGGTTCTTTTCGCGGCGACGTCCGAACCACCGCCGAGGCGATGTTGGGGGTTGCACCACGCGGACTGGCTAGTATTCGAGCTCTCGACTGTGGACAGGGTTTGTCGGACAATTCGCCACCTCGTCTAACCACGAGCAATAGTAAATTTCTCATTGTGATGATGCGAGGTCAGTCATAAAGTTCAGTTTGTTCTTTCTGTCTTTAACTTTATTGCAGTAGAAACGTATTATTCATTGACCAAAAATATTGTTTACGATCTTTCGACAATATTCTAGCGGTGTTCGCACACTTCCACCCATAAAAGTGACTGGTTTATTGTCGGAGAAGACAGAAAGTCGAACGAAACTTTTTGACTAACTCGATATTTTTTAAGTCATATTTCTATTTTCGACAGAAACACTAACTAATACGAACTGACTGGAATGACTAGGATTTACACATCTCCGTAACTTTACAAAAGTTCCTCGGTTTTAATTAAATTTTTAAGTTTTGATCGAATTTTTTATTTGATTTATTAACTTCAACTTTAACTTCGATTGAAAAGCATTCCGAATGCAATACTCGATTGTCTCGCAAAAATGAATAAAAAACTAAACACATAAGATACAGGAAATTTATATATTTTTAATGAAACGTATCAATGCGACTTTCCTCGTAGAACAAGTTGAAGGGACGAAATAATGGTCCGTTAAATTTACGAGTTGCAGACGTCGCGACTTCAGACAGCCACAACGAGACCGCCTTGCCGTCGGCATCGGCGAGTAACGTAAGCAACGTGGACATGACGATCGCGGGCACCACAGCGCCAGTGCTGGTGAATGTATCGTACACCCTATGGGTTGGCAGTAACCTGAACGAGACGTACAACCTGACGGTGACTGCGCCCAAGAACGAAACTTTCTACAGCGTGATGCTGCTGGCGGCGGAGATGTCGCCCCATTTCCAGTTCACCGCGTCCGAATGGCCTAACGGTCACTACGTTCACACGCTGGCCGGCTACAAGGAGGAGCCAATGTCCTATCACTATTGGCTGCTCTATAGACTGCCGTCGCCGCCGGAGCCTTCCTCGCCGCCCGGAAATCAACTGGTCGCACCTGGAGGTGCGATTCGTCTTTTGTTCGCAACTCCGCGAATATTATTCTTACGAATTATAATAACTGGACGGTGACCGATCGCAATCCCCGCGAAAAATATAAGAAAAGGCGACATATATCCAAAAGAAAAAAAATAAAATAAAATAAGATCTAAAGAGAGAAGAATCTTTATAGAGGAATCTTTGCATTAATTTTCTTCATTTAGTGATTTCAGAGAAAATTATATATGTCGTTATATAATTAGTACATATTTAAGTGAATAGAGTGTGGTATATTGCACATGCGAAGATTAAAATTAGATGATATAATAACAGAAATGACTAGAATTTCAATATAATCGCTTCGTGCTTGCAGGTGTCGACGACTTGCAAATCAGCGAAGGGGAGCACTATCTCTTCTGGTACAAGAAGCTGTGAAGTGCGCGGCGAAAGGAGCAAGAAAGCAAAATAATAAAACGTAACGAAGAGAAGGTAACATAAGGGAGACTGGGGGAGGGGGCGTACTGCATAAGAATAAAGCAAGAGGAAAATAAAGTTGTACGAATGAGATAGAAAGAAAGAGAAAGAGAGAATGTGTGCAAAAAAGATAGAGAGAGACAGAGGAAGAAAAGCGAGCGATCTCGAAGCTCTAGAGCGAGATCCAGTATTCACTGCCATCGCTAATCGTCGACACGTAAGAAAAAAGAATACGCGCAACGCTAATATGGGGAAGAGGTGGAAGATTAGACAAAAGAGAATAGGCATAGGTACACATACACAGAAAGAAACAGACACACACACGCGTGCACGTATACAATCCACACATCCACACATGCATGCATACATACACGCAGAGTTGGCAGTGACTTTTGAAACTCTGTTCTAGTGGCTATTTCAAAGGACCCAGATAGAATGAGACACTGATCTCGATCGATATTTCGGATCGATATCAAAATTACATACACATACACACACATACATATTATACACATCGTACACAGCCAGCTGCGTTCGTTGACACGTTGAACGCCGTGATATTGCTCGGTGATTAGACGGAAATGTTCGAAGGATGCCTCGAACATGTCAAAAAAGTATTAAAATTCTATGAATTTTCTAGAATTTTTTTTAGAAAATTCTAAGGCATCTTTTAGGGAGACTTTAGAGGATTTCGGCGTTGCTTGAGTATTGATTGACGCGTCTTGTTGATTCGCGTGTAAGATACAATCAGCTTATACGTATATTTAGTGAGCTATAGCGATCAGTCGATTGGCGTTTATTTGCCGTATTCATTTCACATTCATTTCACATATGTGCACGGTCCTACGATAGTTGTTGCGCGAAATTGAGCCGGAATTCGCGCGGCGTTCGACATGTTGACTAGAAGCTACGCGAGACGCCACATAACGTTTTCTATGAAACTACAAAGCACAAGCGTACTTGTACTTGTCGTAATTAATTCGTACTCAATAAAACCGATTAGCTGTACCGTAATAGCGAATACCCGCTCCCGATGTTCCCACTCTGGCTGTACGCGTTGATTTAGCGTAAGTATTCCCCCCGTCATTAAAAAAATACGCGACAAATAAGTAAGTAAATAAGCAAACGAATTTGGCCTGCTACTGCTGCTGCTATTGCGACATGCTCGACGAGAGAAACAGACAGAGGTGCATCATGAACGTCATACTTTCATTTGCACGCACGATGTATCGTTTTCCGAATAGCTCAAATGAGATGTACGATTTGGTTCTTCTCTTGGTATCAATAAAGGTATCAATAAATTACACCTATCATATCTAATCTATCTCCTTTTTATTTTCCTATATATATTTAAAACTAACGACTAAACTATCATTTAATCGTATTATTTGAGAAAATAGAAACTCGTATTATTTAACACGTTTGCTCGCACAGTGTGTTTAATCGGACGATAATATCTATTCTTTAGAATAGAATAAAAGACGTCGGACTCACCGTTGAGTAGTACTACTTAATAAAGCGAAGGTGTATACGACCGTATTGCTTAGAGCCTTCACACAAGAACATCCGTAACATGTTAAGTTTACGGATTTCTTTGTGCCTTGACTTAAGTTTAATTTTACGTACAGGTATGGCCATTGCATTTTCAGTATTTAACGTAACGTAACATATTACGGATGTTCTTATGCGGAGGCTCTTAATTGTATCACGATTTCGATTCTTTCTTCTGAAAAGTGGCGGCTCGTAACGGAGACTTTGACATTAATTTGAACGTCCACATAAGAAAAACGGGTCTAATAATTTTGTTTTATTTCATTTGCTTGCCTATAATTAGCCACTTATTTGTTCGCCCGGAATTGATCGATAAATTAAACTTTGGCCATGTATTAGCAGCAGTATCAACAACAGATTACATTACGAATAATAACGTATCAAGAAATTACAGAAATATTTATTTACCAACGGTCAGTAAATTAGAAACTTGTATCACGCCGTATCACGTTACTGTAGAGAGAACAAATATCGTAATTTTTTCTCGTTTTAATTACGATTGATAATAATTGTTCCCGTGATTATTTACGTCGGAGAATTTTCAATGAAGAACAAAACAGTCGCATGACACGTGTAGATACGATGTCCCCGAATATCTTAATTGCAAATAGGTGACATTATTTTAATAAAAAATTTAAATTTGTTTAGTCAAGACTCAAACGAACGATACTGTGTTAAGTCGTTCTGCAAAATTCAAATGTACCGATTTCGAAACGCTTTCACGGGATGAAAGCACAAACATCCATGAACGTTTTACACCATACAGATGCGTGAAATCGTGAGAAATTTTTTACCGACCGTCGGAAATGCCTCAACTTTGCCGACGGCCGGTAAATAAATATTTTAATAATTTTAGACAACTGTGTAGCGCAAAACGTTTATTAATTTTTACAAATACACGAAAATCGTAAAACGTTTTTGCCGACAATCGGAAATGTAGGTTTTTGCCAATAGTCGATAAGCAACATTTTAAGCTCAACCGTGGAAGCGCTTCGAAATCAGTACATGCATTTGGATTCTATAGGCCGACGTAACACGCCATATCGTCTTTTTCTTTTTATTGGCGCGACACAAACCGTTTTTGTTTTAGCTAAGATTCGAACCAAATTGGTTTGAATTTTCATTAAATTAGTCAAAAACTACAGGAAATGTAGTCTAGCTATTAACTTACAGCTGTTGCGTTCGCGCAAGGCATGCATTAATATTCGTATATATATTAATATATAGATATATTATTAGGTATACTATTAGACATATTATTAGCATACAGAATGGTATTTCACGTTCTCTTAGCGCATGAGATCTCCATAATTAATTAGTCAACCAGGATTTACTCTTGGCTCCTGCCTTAAAAATTCTTTTAAATGCCAGCTCTATCCAAATAACTTAGCCAAGATCACGTATCATAGACCCAAATTTCACGTTATTCGTTTTTTCCGTGACATTGTTAAATGGCGACAGGTAAGCCATTACTCATCTAGTCAATATAAAAATGGTTAGAAATAATTTATAATGCATAACACATAATTCAAATTATAACCATTATATTGCAATCAATATTAGCATCCAATGTTTATTAATGTATATTTATTTTGTTAAAATATATCTTTTTCAAATTTAGAGATCTGGCTACTATAATCCAATATATATAGTTTGATACATTAATTTTTATTTGTCTCAAAGTGTTCTATGACTTTTTCGATCATGGAAAATATGTGACTCCATCTTCAGTAAAGATTCGGTAAAGATGATAATAAAATAAGATAGCGCCAAAAGAAAATTTTAAATTAAAAATTTTTATCGAGGTAATCCTATAATTATTGTACGTTGTGTATGTACATTTTTATTTATTACTATTTTTCTACATATATATCAGTTAGATTATATATATATATATATATATATATATATATATATATATATATATATATATATAATAATAAAAATAAATACACCAAAAAAATAACACTGATCTTATTTTATTATTTCTCTTGCTCAGTGACTGTCTCTTCCTCTTGCTTACGTTCATTTACTTGTGAAATGAAAAAAGTTCCGTTTTTTTCTATTTCTTCCATTTCTCTAAGTAACATCTCGCAGGAATCACGATAGAATACATACTTCTCTTTCCTATAGTCTACAGGATCATTTAGGATTTCGATACATCGCTTGTTTGACAAATTTTGCATAAACTTAAAATACGTCTGTGTATATTTATCTATAGCTGTTTGTTTCTTTGTCTCAGACACATGTGGTTTCCTTCGACTTTGACTTTTTCGAATCAGTGGAATGCATGGTGACAATGGAAAGACCATTTGACTTTCGCTTGAACTCGACGCGACGTCCTGCTGCTCTATATATTGATCATACATATTACGATCCTTCAACCTCGTTTTCATAATCACATACTATAATCACATATATCATCCATAATCATATATACGATATATTATATACGATACATGAATAAAAAACACAAATATGCTTGTAAATGTGCGCGCACATAATATATTAAATAATGTACGATAGACATTACATAAATGTATATCGACATATAAACTTCTCTCCCTCTCCCTCTTTCTTTCCCTCTCTCTCTCTCTCTCTCTCTCTCTCTCTCCCTATGTACACAAGATGTACAAAATACTCAGTAAAATATATTACACAGCGCGAATTCGTACGTTGAAATTTTTGACGAATATCGCCGATATACACACTCGAGTATTCCGGAGAATTGTCGGATACACCGTCCGTTTGATATTCTATAACATTAACGTTGAGAATACCTTGTTCTTTCGTACGAGGACGTTCACGACTGGGTGATGGAGTTACACTTTCGCTGCTCGTCGCTCCACTCGAATCTCCGCGCGTAGCAGCGGCGATCTGAGCTTTCGCGACGTCGCGCTGCTCGCTTTTTCTGCTACTCCGCATTGAGATTTTAAATTACGTCACTGCGGGTGACATAACCTTGGATGCCTTCCAAGACGCTCGTCTCGCTCTCGGAAACGTCGGCGACTTCCGGTGCCGATGTCGGAAGAGAAGGGGAGATAAGCTCTCATTCGAGATATCTCGCCGATGACGCTAAAGGACGCTTGGGAGTGGATGTAATTTTCTCTGCAACCAGTAAGCTGCGTATATCTTAAACGCGGCGCGTGTCTGTAACATGTGTGTGACAATCAACGAAGATAAAGGATCGTTGATAAAGAGATAAACGTAATCAATTTTCTCACCGGAAGCGTCGAGCTGAAAGGAACACGGCAATTTTCACGGAGCATCGCTCATTACTTTTTTTTTAGTTATAATCGTGTATGATTATGAGGACTTCGTCGACATTTTCAACCGAAATTCGCGACGTCAACCATCGTCTGAAATTGCCGATATTGGGCCGCGTGATCGATAACGTTGAGAAAGAGAGATAGGAAGCACACAAGGATATCACGCGACGCGATGATTCTTGCCGTCCACTCACAGACTCGGTCTGGTCTGCGCAAATTCGAGGTGCAGCGGTCGTGGAAAGGACACGGAAAGTGCTTCGCTCGCAATATCTGAATTTCAAAGAGAGACGTATTCCTAGGATATTGAAAATCCTCGGGTGGCCAGAGCCGCACAGCAGGATCGACGAATACGCGCAGGGTGCTCCCGATGCCGGCAAAGAGCGCGGCGACTCGAAAGGACACGGCAGCCTTGCGAAAAGAACGCGATTCGATCGTGGGGGATATGAAAAAGAGACTGCGGTGAGCGAGGAATCTTAGATGGCTCCAAAGAACGCCGCGAAAGTCGACAATAATTTGACGTATAATCCTGTTCACCGGTTGAATTTTGACGTTGTTCGCCGCGTGCATCTTCTAGAATCGCGAGATCTATCATGGAAATCGCGCGAGGAGTATGTCGATTAAAACACGCGAGAAACCGGAGATTACATGGCGAGACAAAGTTCGAACAAACGTTAAACGGCTGCAAGACGCAACGTTAAGAAAGTTACAGAATGTTGCTCCTTGATGCATTAAGTTGCAATGAAAAGTTGTTGTGTTTGTCAAATGAAACAAGAAACGAAACTATATATCCAATTCCGAAAAATTTGCAATTCTTACGAATAAAATGAGCCATATCGACTTAGTATATTTTTAGGCATCTAACGAAAACTTTATTTTTCTTCTAAAATTCCAACTTTCTGCAAGATTTAAGTGAAAAATTATTCATATCTTTAAGTCATATCAACTTAATGTGAGTCATATCGACTTGATGTAAAGAGGTAATGTAAAAATAAACTCAGTATAAAACATAAAATCAACTTGATATAAAAGAAAGGATACCTCTCCCCTTAAAAATATAAGATTCTAAAATATATAATAAGTATAAGTCTTTTGAGCTTCGTCCTGCAAAGGATCGAACCTCGATGTTAATCTCCCGATATCCTGCAGTCGCCTCACAGTCGACGGCCCGGCTCCAAGGGTGCGTCGTCACCGAAGACATCTCCGAACACGATCAATATCCGATGTACCGTCGCCGACGCGGCAAAAAGGACGAAGACGTCGTGACAGGATCTCACGGAGAATGAGACTCCGTCGTCGTCTATGACGACGCAGAAATTCAACGGGGGATCACGGGCGTAATTGGTGAGCCGCCGGCGGAGGCGGCTCTGCGTCGTCGCCAGCGTCGTCGCCGGCCGCTGAACTTTCGAAAAATAGTCCTGCGGCTGTGAAGAATCGATAACTGTTTTCACTTCTCGTTGAGGTGCTCGCGACCGAAAGAACATCTTGACGAACTTCGTCGCGAGGAGACGCGCATCCTTCCGAGGACGACACGCGGCTGCGACGTCGCGGAAAGGGATGCTGATGGATTTCGCGACAACGACGACGACGACCACAACGACAACGCCGCCGCCGAGCGTGGGAGGAGGAAGAGCGTCGTGGGGTGAGCGAGGGTGGACGAGGGTGTGGGCGGTGCTCGCGTGTTTCGCGAAAAAGAAAAGCGCGGAAGTTCGGCGCGAGTCTCCCGGCGTAACAGGTGGTTAAACAGGGCTGTAAAGTAGCTCATGGGTGCGAGGGGTGGATCGGGACGGAGGGAAGGGTTGAAAAGGTCGGACTTCGCTCTGCGAAGTGTGCGCGAGCAGGGGGAGATCGCGACTCCTGCACACCAGCCCTTCCTCTTCCTTACGCTCTGCCGTACGACCTTCCGTGCGCGCGAATTAATTGCACGGATTACGCGGCGCGCCACGATCGACTCTTTGCTGCGCGCGAAAAAACTCACGAAAAGCTCACGGATGCGTAATTCAATGTGCGCCACACATGAGATATCTAAATAGGTGATACGCGCTGATTAGATAAACAAACAGTAACTGGTGCGAGAGTCGATCTCGTTAGAAACTGTCTCCTCGAGGAGGAGGATGTCGCAATTAGAGGCACCGAAATTACGATAATCGCGAGACGGTCCCGAGTTGAGACGGTTCATGTAATTAAGTTAAATTCTCATGTGTGAGTGGAAACAAACGCAAGCTTGTACACGGAAAGAATATTATAGTTTGTTTTCATATAAATTCTTTTTAATTTCACTATATTTTTAGCAGTCCACAGGAATAAACTATCAGATAAGGTATCAGTTTATCTTGCTCAGGAACATAGCATATTTCGCTAGAAACATGCTAAGTGTTTTAATAGCGTATTTCAGTTCTTAAAATAAAACAAAATAAAATAAAATAAAATATAAGCACATGCAAAATGAAAGGACAGTGAATTACCGTAGTATATCAGTTACAAAATTCTATGGTAATTTTTATTATAAAATATCGTGTCTTTTCTTCGTGTAAGGTAAAAGTATCAATATCTCGACACTAATAACACTGTTACCTAATTCTGAACATTCTCATTATTTTGATCTTTAAATACGAATATTTAAACTTTCAATATAGACAGAATGAATACACACATCCTACGTTGAAGGTTTAAATATTCGTACACTGATATATTCGTCTTATGAAAGTAATATAGTGAATTTATATACAATATTCACATATCCAATATTCTGATTACGATGCCTCGACGTATTTAGTCAATATCGTAGTCAATATCGAGACATTTAGTTGTAGACATCTAGACAGTTTGGTAATTCTCTCTAGACGTGTGATACTATTGACGCGATAGTTAATTGTTACTCGTTGCGACGTTTCCTTTTTCATCTATACTAATTTGTAAAGACGTCGATGCTAAAAGAGTAAACGCTGAAACCATTAAATATTTGGAAAAATGAAATTTCTTAAAATATGTCGACGAATTTAGAAGTAAATATATGAAGATTATGTACAGTAAGTATATGAAAATTATATATAATATGGTTAGATTTTAGGTTAGCTAAAAAAGTCTAACACTACTCCACAACTGTATTCATAACATTCACCAAATGAATTGTATGCTGTACCAGACCAGAATTGTTTACCAAACGGTTTGGTAAACGTATTTAAACATTACTGTAATGCTATTTAGACAATGCGCTCATCAGATAGTTTGGTATTATTGACTAAATATCTTGTTACACGATTATTCACCATATCGTTTAGTAAACCTAAAAATTCTGGTTAGTATCATCAGACATTTTCCTCAGTGTATATATTTAAAATTAATATTTATATTTAAATAAGAATGTCCACACAGAGTTATGCCGGAATTACGATTAACTTCACGTAACGGGACGCGACGTGAAGTGACGTGACGTGAATTTGACGTTTGAAGTTTGTTTTGAAATTACAATCACCGTAAAGTTGATCGTAATTAGCTGCGTATAAAACAACGTGTTTTAGGTTTTGCGTCACCTCACGTCCCGTCGCGTCCTGTTACGTGAAGTTGATCGTAATCCCGGCATTAGGCGCCAGTTTTATTAGTGTCCAGAGATTGGCACTTTTAAATAACTTGATGTAATAATTGTCGATCGATATCAAGTCAACCGTTCATTCGCAGAACTATGTTTTTTTCGAATTTTCCGTATGACGCACTCGTCTCGTCTGGTCTTCTCTCCTCTCCTCTCTTCTCTTTTCTTCCCTTCTCGTCTTGTCTTGTCGCATCATGATGGCTTAACTTATCGATTGCGCAACGTGACAGCCACGTCGGTTGTAAAGCGCATTTAGATGTATCTGCATGAATTCCACCACGGCCTTAATTAATTCGATCCAGCAGCCCTTCCGTAGCATGATGCCGTTTCCATCGTTGAGAGCATCGTCAGTTGAACGGATGGGTGGGCGAGTTCCGCACGCCGCGGGCAACGAAAGGAAATTGGCTCGGCCTGAGGATATCCTGCCTGGACGGAGAAGCATCCTTAATACTGTAAAATAAGTATAATGAAGGGCGAAGTAGCCAGGTCGAAATTTAGATTCTATGTTAAGCCTGCAAATATCGTCAAATTTCCTAAGAAATGATTTTTTGAAACTATTTTATGTATCACTGCCTGCGTCCCGGCGCCTTGCATCTTGGCTTTTCGACTCAGCATCTTGATTAGAAATGTATCCTAATCAGGTTAATCCAAACCACCAATCTGCTTTGTATAGATTTTATGATATTCCGAGCCGAAATTTTGACCCTATGTTGAACCTTGAATTCTACACCGCAGTAGGAGTTAAGATAGCAAAGTAAGTTTAATTCTAATAATATAATTTATTCCTACTTTGACCCTGATGATGTCTGAAATTTCCGCTTTCGCTTTCTTTAGCGTCAAAGTAGGTTATATAATAGTAGGATCTTAGGGAACAACGTAGGTTCGGTTGCAAACCTTTGTTGAAGCTTTAGCTCCTAGAATATATGTATTTTATAGAAATATTTAAAAAACTTAATAAATAACGAATCATAAACGTCAAATAGCATACAAAATATACATTATTTGTTGTATATATTTCAGATATCATCAGAGTCAAAGTAAGAATAAATTACATCATTAGAATTAAACCTACTTTGCTATCTTAGTTTCTACTGCGATGTAGAATTCAAGGTTCAACATAGAGTCAAAATTTCAACTCAGAAATGAATACTAATATTGTCAAAATAGGTTTCACTTAGATTGTAGATTATCTAAGTAGACTCAAACTATTTTAAGAGCGTCAAAGTAGCGTCAAAATTTTGACAAGGTAGAGTTAAAGGTTCAAAAGAGAAGTTAATGAATATTAATATCCTCAAAGTAGGTTTTACCTAGGCTATAAACCATCTAAATAGGCGCAAACTTAAAAGCGTCAAAGTAGCATCAAAACTTCGACTCGGGATATCAAGGCCTGACAAGTTATGCAATGTAGCGTGGCATTAGAATTTTATTAATAAATAAAATCCAATAAAAGTAATTAGTTTAATCATTCTTAGAAAAACAATAAATAATCAG